GCATCCCGCGCCAGATCCCGTCCGGATCCGTCCTCCTCTTTGCTGCGCTACCTCACTGCCCCCGCACCCTGCCTTCACACTCCGCTACAGCGGCTTCGGTCGCAGCCAAAGCCCGCAGCGTCGGGCCTCAGTTCTTGGTGAGCGCAGAAAGCGACCGAGAAAAGGAAAAGAAAAAACGGTCTAGTCGTGCTCTCTCCCTTTTTATGCGCTACCCTCGCTCAGGGGCCATGCTAGTCTTCTCCATATTGTTCCAATTTTAACGGATGTCCCGAAGGACCTTCTAGCCGGGGTAGTGCCTCACGACCTTTCGGTACTCGAACGGCTGTTCCGCCTGGTTGGCACCGTTCGCACGAATCTGGCCTCCTTTCGGGGCCGGGTTTAGGTACGTGCCCCCAAGGTGTGCTATCGAGCCCAACCAGCTGCGACGTTCGGGCCTGCCCCCCCCTTCCTCAGTTTATGCTTATCATCCATGCTCGGGGCCCACGCAAATCCTCTCTGCATCGCCCCAATTTTAACGGATGTCCCGAAGGACTCAGACCACTGGCCCGCTCTGGCTCTCTGGGGCCCCGCGGGCATACTCACACTCACGTCCTTAGCAGCAGACCGCGGGATCAAGGCGCGGCCCCGCTAACCTGCCTGGAGCGTGGGCCTGAGTGAAGGCGGGCCATCGCTCCTGCGTTGTCGCCCGCTGGCCTCGATCCCCATACCTCATTTGGATAGCCCCGTGGGACCCTCAACCCCTCGGTTCCTTCGCTGCCCATCGCTCCTGCGTTGTCGCCCGCTGGCCTCGATCCCCATACCTCTGTGGCTGCAGTCCAATGCCATAACCTATAGGGCTACGCCCAAGCCTACAACCAGCGTGCGCAAAACCCTACAGCCATGCGCACTGCCGCCAAGCGTCCGAGGCTGAAAACATGGCCTGGACCTTCTTCCCACCTACAGCCATGCGCGCTGCCGCCAAGCGTCCCTGTCAGCTTACCTAAACTTCGCCGTAGCTGGCCCGCGCGCTGCCCTGTGCGTCGGGCCTACTACTGGTTAAACACGCCGAACAAAAGGCGAACCTTTCTAGCTGGTCAACTAGGTCGGCTACAAGATCGATCGAAGGAAAATCACACGCGCGCCTTAAAACTGCGCGCTCACGCTTCGTTCCAACTCCGATAACCCTTAACCTCTGCGCAGGCGACCACCACAGTCCACGTGAACATTCCCAAGATTCTGGCTTAACCAACCTTCCTGTCATTTGCAAAAAGAAGGGCGGATACCCTTGTAAGGGTAATCGCGCCGACAACGTCTGAGCGCACGACGGGCAGGCGCGCATCACGAAGCGCATCAGTGTGCGGCAACTATGGAATTTACCGATGAGCAGCAGTCTGGTTCATCCGAGCGAGTCCCACCGTCGAACCCTTTGGAGGTACTGGCGGTTTAACCTCTTCACCCGCATCCCCCCTGTCCCTTGTTCATCTATGAATTGTACAGCTTCAGGACCAACATCCCTGCCCCATTGGCCAGCAGTGCGTTCCATCTTCCCCTTGAAAAGTAGGCTTGAATAGTTGCCCTGATGTTCTCCGTAACCCGGCTTCTCAAGGTATACTCACACTACGACTTTTTCTTCTAAGCTCTGGACGTGATTGCAGTCAAATTCATCCAGGTCTGGCCATAACTGCAGACGCATACATATACCACAGTGCCAGTGGGAGCATGCCCTCAGAATGTGGTATACATTTCCCTTTGTCTTTACCCTCTTGTTCCATGAAAACCCAGACTGCCCAGAGCACTGCAAGGTGTTAAACCATCCAGGGAGAAATGATGAGAGCGATGGTGGGAGGGAGTCTCATAAGGAATGGAGCCCTCTGTAGACCATCAAGATATTAACCTAATAGCCGACTGCGGAAGGTTACTGTCATAGTCTGGCTCCCAACCTCTACAACAACCTGGACTTCATTGGGGGGGGGGGGGGCGGAGCAAAAGGTGGTAAATCATCCATGTGCGAGGAATGAGCCCTCGCAGGGCCCTTATCAGGCATGCACATGTTCTGGACTGAGGCCCTCAGCAAGCCCCGTGCCCGCCCTAAGTGAATCTGCTTCATTGAGAGCTGTTGCAGTTGGCTATCTTCGCAATTGTGGTTTTGTCACGGCCAGGTCCCACGTTGCCGGTCCAATACTACCATCTTGACCCCAACCAAACGCCCAGCCCATTATCACTATCGTGACTACACCTAGACTGATAGCTGTAACGACCATACGTTCTATTGGGTAAAGATGGTAGTTCTTGTTTCGCCGTACCTAGCATGTAGGTACGAAGTACCCCATCGCTTTCCTTCCATTCCCCCATGTTATATACTGAGACCGATTGCATCTCCTCCATTTGCATCCTTTCTTTGGGTCAACTAATTCCCTCTGGGTCCACCTCCATTTCGCTGCCTACATCCTTTCTTTGAGTAAACCAACTCCCTCTCGGTCCCTCTCCATCTCACTGCCTATGTTCTTCCTTTGGGTAAACCAACTCCCTCTGAGTCCTCCTCCATTTCCTTGCCAACTCAACTCCCTCTGGGTTCCCCTCCATTTCCCCGCTGCCCACGTCCTTTCTTTGGGTAAACCTACCCCCTCCCCTCTCCATCCCCCTCCATTTCCCTGCCTATGTTCTTTCTTTGGGTACACCGACTCCCTCTCGGTCCCCCACCATTTCTTTGCCAGCTCCCTCTAGGTCCCCCTCCATTTCCCTGCTTATGTTCTTTCTTTGGGTAAACCAACTCCCTCTGGGCCTGGTTCGCTAAAGATTTAGGACGGGCGACATGGTACGTTGGTTTGGAAGGGAAGAGCTCCACTCTGCAGGGGCATCACAAGGCGGGAGGTGATTGCCCTGTAGGGAGGGTGGGCAGATTTTGGGCGATCGTTTAGTCTGGGGCTGGGACTCTAGGAGAGATGAATGTGGTAACATCATCTCCCAGCGGCGACAGATTAGGGCAAGGGCTTGTTTGAGGCATGCTTTCGGGGGAACTGGATGTCGTGATGGGAGCAGGGGAAAATGTGGGTCTGTCCCTGGTTGCGGCTGAGGAGGACTGCTCATCATCAGAGCGGCCCTTATCAGCGGAGGCAGCGAAGGGGTTGAAGGAAGTAGGTGGGGGGAGGTGAAGAGAGGGGGGGAATCTCTAATTTCTTGTTCTTGAAATATCAGCGCATCAATATCCTTGGTCGTCCTTGGTCGTCATTTCCGGATTCGATCCATAACTACGCTGGTCAGTGCTGGGGCATTGCCCTGTAACCTGTAGGCAGGGGCATGCGGCCTCATAGAGAGATCTGGAGATTACTAAAGGCGGAAGGTAATCCAGTGACTGACTGACGGCTACTTCCAGGGCAGCGATGGTCGGAGCTGGGGCGGGTCGCGCTGCCTTGTAACCTTAGTTTGATTGGGGGTATGAGACCGGACATAGACTTGACGAGTGGACCGCACATCTAGGTTTGATTAAACTGGGTTGATAGGGAGGCTTGCAATTAGGGGTGGACAGAAGTAGAGTTCTGTTCAGGCCAAATTTTCCTGAGGGTATTTCCTAATCTTCGTCGCCATCATCAGATCATTATCAATCATCCTCAATCATCCTCAATCATCCTCAATCATCCTCGACCATACTCAATCATCCTAATTGTTCACTATTGTAATCTTTTATAAGGGACGTTGGGCCTGTTTCCAAGCCCTTGCTGCTCCACACGAATAGATTGGAGCGTTAAAAAAACAAAAAAAAAAACTCTTCCAATATCCCTGTTGCTCGCTCCGCATGCAACCCCTGGCTTGTGCAACCCAAATTCCGGTATTCGGTATTCGGACTTATAATTCGGATTTCTGTTTTCTTCCGGTATGCTGTCTATTCGAGTTCCGATTGAGGGATACTAATCCGATAATTGATTAAGTTTCGGATTTCTGATTTTACACGAATTAGGGTTGAATCAGTATCATGTTGAAATTCGGCGTTGCTGATTTCCATTCAACATTCCATTTGTCGGCATTTTGTTGTAAATCCTATATTTCGTTTTCTTTTGGATTTCCGTTGTCTTTCAGTAGTGGAAATTAGGGTTACGAAAAGCTTTGGGTTTTAGATCAACTTGGGGAAATTCGAACGTTTTGGGACCGTAAATCCGAAAATTTCGCGGAAACGCGAAAAATTAGGGTTGGGACCGTAATTTTCGCGAATTTTTTTTTTCGTTCCCCTTGTTTGAGAAATTCCAAAAATAGGTTTCGGCTTTTAAAAATCGGATTTTGACGGTGGAAATTCCCAAAAATTCGCGTTTTTGAAAATTCGAGCGTTTTTTTTCTTCTGAAATTTCCGAATTTTTTTTTAGCACACTAAGCCGTATCTGACCCTCAAACTGCAACTTCCGGGTAGTTCACTCATTAACGGTGAACTCCCGGACTCGAGTGATCTCAAAGAGACCTAATCATAATACCTTTCAAATTCGTTTATGATTGATGATTATTGGTTATCTTTATTACAAACATTGTTTTATTGATCATCATTAGGAATATTTCGTTATTTATTATTAATTAATTTTATTGATTAAATCGTTATTAATTCCTTATCACGAATTTTTGAATGGTTTACGGGAAATTATTTTCGTTTGATTAGGTGTCAACAGTCCATCAGTGGGACAGGGGACTGTATGCGTATTGTTTGATTGTTCTACCCCTGTTCCCACTCTCCCTAACCCCCCCGTATCCTGTGACCACCGGGACCTCTCAAGTACCGCATCAGTCCACACTGATGTCGATGGAACAGGACACCAGGGCACTGCCACAGCGCAGTGCCAGGCTCGCAGTTCGTGCTCGACCTACGGTACCTCCACGAACCAAGGCTCAGCAACAGAGACTCAGCAGGCGGACGACTCCAGCGGCATCGAGTACAACATTGATGGTACCGGACACCACCGGAGTTCTTCCCGCATGCCCGGTCCAAAGGGCCAGTGAGCCGTTGGCTGACTATTTTGGGCGGCTACAAGTATTTACAGATGCCGTAGTTGCCGCCAAGGCTCAGCAGGAGGCAGCAGAGGCAGAACGTCAGCGGCTGGCCAATGAGGCGGCAGCCCAAGCTCAGCAGACTTGATGCTGGGCGGAGGTAGAGACGACTCACCTGGCTAACTTGATGTTGGGCATGATGAGAGGCATCATATGGAATAACACACTGCTGCAGGCACATCTGCGCACGGAACGACAGCAGCGACAAAAGTACCAGCAAGACATTGCTGTTTTAACAACTGCCATCCACGCCGAAGCAACGCAGCAGCAGCAACAGCATCAGCTGTTGAAYTCCGCTCTCGCACGCATCAACAGCATTGAGGCTAACGCCTCAGCAGCGCCAGGCTGCACGACAGACGCGACGAAGCAACTCAATGAGCGCATCGATCACGTCGTCACCATCATTGGCGACATAGGTGTTTTCAATGGGCCGGACACGATCAGCAGCACGGTGGCCGCCATCAAGACGGACATCACCAAGCTGCATACGAGACCGGACGCCGCTACAAAGACTTACAAAATGCCGCACTTCGACATCAGCAAGTTCGACGACTACAACAAATCGGACGCCTTGACATGGTGGCAACGTTTCCTCACGGAAGCATCATGCCACACTGTCCCGGCAGACGACATGATGAAGGCACTCTACTTGCAACTAATTGGAGGAGCGCAGGCTTGGATGAACCATCTGGCGGCTACCAACAAATGCACCATCGCCAAACTCCACACGCACATCACGTGGAAAGAGTTCGAGAAGCTATGGGTCACCCGGTTCATGGTCCGCAACGTCGTGAAGGCGGCCATGAACGAGGTGTACACCTTCTCTTAAGGGAATATGCCAACTCGAGACTGGACAACCAAGTGACAGAAGATAGTGACCACGCCAGGATTCGATTTGAGTTTTCCATATCAACGATCCGAGTTCTTCTCGCGATCGTGCGCGGGACTGCGGTCGGCACCTGGCAAAAAGTACGACTATGACACGTTTCAGGCCATTCTCGATCGTGCGAACTTAGTCATCCAAACGGATGACAAGGCCGCAAACGAACGGCAGTCCCGGCCGCATTATGTGGCTAAGCAGGGCTATCAACGTCCGACACATAACAATGTCGTGATTTCTAAAGAAACAGACGATCTCCACGCTGCAGCAGCATCCTCGAGTGATGGAGGAATTGTAGCAGCGCTCCCGCCGAAGCGTCCCAAGAGAGTTCGAAAGAACAAGGCGACACATGAGACAGCATCGACGGGAACTGGGCAGCAGTTAACCCGATTAACATAACAAAAGCATAATGGTACACAAAGCCACTTTGAAGTGTACTTATTTGCTTTGCTAATTTTTGAAATGTGGTGGAAATTCCATAGGGACCCAAAATGGAAATAGCACCTTTGTCTAAAGTTTTCAAAGAAACTTCATACCCAAAACGTAAAAATGATTTAGCTATGAAATCATTAAAAACCTTATCAAATAACCATCACTTGTTCAAAAAACAATAGCACTTCGTGTATTTGTTCCACTGAACATTGTAAAACACTCCCACGTAGATGAGTCAAACACGAATTTGATTTTTTAAAAATTGAAAAAGAACTCATTGCTTCGCACCTTTCTTTTTTCATCAATCAAATCAAAGGCTAAGTAACATAAAGGTAATGTATTGGACTGCAAATCCACGAATGATGGTTCGAATCCGTCCTTAGCCTACTTACTCGGCAAGTTGACCAAGTTGAGTTTCTTAAGAGATTGATGTTACCAGTCTTCATGATCTTCTTAATAGAATCAAAACGTATTTCAGTAAGAACCTGTATCAAAAATCGTCGTTCTTTTCTCTTTTTCTCAGTCTTAATAGCAGCTTTTTTAACTCCTCCAGACATTTGGTTTCAATTTTGTGTGTTTTACCTATTTATGGTGTGATAGAATATTTTAGGTGCCTTTTCCTCTGGGATTTTCTTATTCGGTTGTTCTATGATTTATGGATTTACAGGAGTGACCAATTTTGAAGAATTAGCCAAAATTTTGACTGGTTATGAAATGACTTTTTTTGGGACTCAATCGAGTGGTATTTTCATGGGAATTTTATTTATTGCTGTAGGTTTTTTATGGAAAATAACTGCAGTTCCTTTTCATATGTGGGCACCTGATGTATACGAGGGTTCTCCTACTTTTGTCACAGCTTTCTTTTCTATAACACCTAAGATTGCTGTTCTTGCAAATATGTTACGTGTGTTTCTTTTTAGTTTTTATGATCCAACATGGCAAACAATCTTCTTTTTTTGCAGTATTGCTTCCATGATATTAGGATAACAAGGCGCCGCTTATACACTGAGCTTCGCCCTTCACTAACCATTTTGTGTTTTTCCAATTTCGTACTTTGCGCAATGCTTTATGAGGCCCAGTAGAAGAGGGCAATTCATAGATAGTCATGGACGACTTACAAGATAACCAAGGATGTCTATGACCTTCGTCAAAAGTACGGATACTGCCTCTGGTGCAACGGCATCACTCATGTGACCGCACAATGCCCC